CACTGGTTTATGTTCCTACTGTGCTACACGTTAGCAGCTCACAGCTTCTATTCATTAAAGAAGTGCTTGCTGTGACACAGTCTGCTGCGCTGAGCTGGCAGCAGCCTCACATCTCATGTTACCAGGTCTCTGGACACACCCAGCCTGTCAGGTGTCTACACAGACAGCCCCAAGAGGTTCTCAGAGGACTGACTTTGCCACGTAGGTTCGTTTATGTGCCCGCTGGGACGGTCACGTGGTAACACGGCCTGATGATGTACTTCTCTAAGTGTGTGTCTGTCCTCAGCTGCTGTGTGACTGTCCTCAAGTGCTCATGGTCAGAGTATTGGTAGAATTCAGAAACAGGCAAGAAAGGCCATTCTGATGAGGTTTCACACGGGCATGAGGGAGAAGGCCCTGGAAACAGGAGTAACGGGCATCCTTCCTACACAGCAGCAAGGGACTTGTTGGAATTCTGCCCGGGTCCATGGATTTTGCACAAAGCAAAACCTAATAGCAAGGAACTCAGATATCTGGCAAAAGAAGTGTCTAAGCCTCGAAGTATTCAAGGCAACTCATGGCTTCTTTTGATCACTTACAGTAAAGTGGAATGATTTCAAAGTGGAATTTATAATTAAAAGGAAGGCAGAATGGAAAGATTTAGGAAACGCTCAGTGTGGCCATGTAAAGAATAAGAAGGGTTCTTGGAAGAGAGTGCCAAGGCTGGGGCCAAATGGCTGTTGGCTGAGGAGACTCATCCGGATGGCAGAAAGCCAGGTCCTGCTCGTCAGGTCAGCGGGGCACGGATGCTAAGAGCATGTTTTCCAGAGCAGCAGCCTTCAGGACAGCATGGCGAGCCTGTGGCACGCGCACCATTGCCAGATGTTTGTCACCATGGGAAGCTCTAAAAGCTCCGCCATCACTGCCTTAGGGCCTCAGTGCCCACTACCCTGCATTTCAGGACTCTCCTCCCCCAGTTCTGGCACGGTACCCCTCTGCTGTCCAGGCGGGTTCAGGTGGGATCAGTGTGCCTTGGACCACTACTCCAGAAGGTTCAATCCGTAAACCCTCCTTCCTCGGCTAGACCCCCCTCATTTACAAAATGTCTATCTGCCTATATCCTGTTATCTACCTTTTATTTTACTCTAAATTATTTGTACTTTGGGTTTCTCATATAAGACAAGCATGCAGTATTTAAGCTTGTGTCCTATTTTGCTAAGCCTGATGATCTCATGATACATTCATTTTCAAATGACTACACATGACTCAAATCTATCCTCCTTTAGAGCTTTGCAGCTCCTTGATTTGATATAATCCCATTTGTTGATTGATGATGTAATTTCTTATATAATTGGGCTTCTGTTCAGAAAGTCCTTGCTTGTGCCTCTGTCTTCAAGAGTTTCACCTACTTTATCTTCCAGAAGATACACTGTTTCCACTTTAATATTTAGGTCTTTGATGTATTTTTATTTTATTCAGTGCATGATGAGAGATGTGAGCCTAGATTCGTTAACCAGTTTCCCCAGCACCATTTGCTAGTTTTTCCCTGGCAGGTGTTTTTGGCTCCTTTTCAAAGACCAGATATCGACATGTGCCTGGGGCATCTTGTCTTCTGTTTTCATTGTAGAGTTCTTTTGTGTCCTTGATTAAAGTAGTATTTCAGTATCTAACGTATTTAAGCTCTTGTGAATGGTATTCTTTTCTTGACTTTTTCTCAGTATGCTAACTGTTGGGGTACAGGAACACTCTTGATACTCATGCACTGATTTATATTCTGGTACTTGCTGAATTTATTTTTTAGTTGTAGGAGTCTTTTGGTGGATTTTTTTTTTCTTGTTAGTGTAATCTTGACTTTGGTTGCATTCTGATAGTTATCCACCTCTTTGATCTACTCAGTTTAATAGGATTGGATCCCACCACCGTGTTGTGGGGAAAGGTGCCTTTACTGGTTATTTCAGTGTCAGTAGATCCAACATATATCAGCCATGTACATTAAAACTTGTTTTAGCAACGTCTCCCTTTTATCAGTGTCCCATATAGACTGTACTACACTGCTCCTAACAGGTAGACTGCAGTGTAATGGGAAGGAGCATGGAAAAAGGAAGAGAGAAAGGAGGAGAGAGTTAGATCAGAAGACAGAAAATATCTCCAGGTGAAAAACAGGCCAGAAATCTGCCTCTGTTAGAATTCTTTTTATAGTTGGAGGAAAGCACTAGTTGTCAAGAAAGGATGCAGGAGGAGGGAAGGGTAGAGCAGCTGGAGCCTGAGGGAAGCTGTGGGAATGTCAGACTGTTGATATGTGGATAGTCAGCAATTGCAGTGATTTTACCCCGACATGCCCATGAAAGGTTTTCCTGTGTTTAGATCAAAGCACTAGTTCATTCTCGTTTTCTTCTGCGCATATACAGATATTCCCTATATACAGCTAGATGAAAGGAAGAACAGAGCAAAAATAATAGGAAAAGAAAGAGAGGAAAAAAAGACACAGAGGAAGTAAAAAAGAAACCATAACCACACCAAACCAAATTAAAACAAATCCCCGTACAGTTCAAACAAAATGAACATCTTCACAGTCCGGTTAATACTACAGTCCAAGTTCTACTAGTGCTCTAAGAGAACATGATTTGTTTGGCCAAAGAATAAAAAAGAACTGAGAGCAAGAAGAAATTTAAATGGGATGGTAGAGAGCCATGAATGTTAGGTGGGGACCGGGGCCAACCGCACACCTGCCACGCTGGCATCTGCGTGAGACACCTGTGTGAGCGAGCAGTGGTGACGGCCATGGAGCAGGTCCTTTCCAACCACTTTAAGTGACCCTGCTGAGAATTTTTCTGGGAAATAGCATTTTAAAAATTATGTAAGAATTCATGCTTACTCTGAACGATCTTGGGAAATGGAGGAGGAGGTATAAAAATCATGCATAATTCTACCACTCTAACCACTGCTGTCATTCTTTTTTTTTTTTTTTTTTCCTTTTCTTTTCAAATTATTTATCCAGAGCCAGGGGCGAGTGCAATGACACAAGTACTACCTGGCAAGAGCAAGGTCATGAGTTTGATCCCTGGTTTTAAAAAAAAAAATCAACAAAATTATCTATCCATACTTTGTCTTTCTTCCCTTCGATTAGTGGTGGGGTCAGAGTGCATGTGTAATTACACATGCTGGTTTTTTCCTAACCTAACATTGTATTTCCCTATGGCAGCAGGGTATCTTTAAAGATACAGCACCAAATCATGATATGATGTAACTCCTTCAGCTGTTTTCTAGTGTCAAGCAGATCACTGCCTCTACTTCTTTACTGTATTAAGTAAGCCCCTTGTTCACGCACCAATGGTCCCTACTTATGTTGTGCACACTTCCAAGCGCTTCATGTATGAACTCATTTAATCCTCACAAGTGCATGAGGAGGTCAATGTACATTTATATCCTATTTTACAGATGAGGAAGCCATAAAGAGGTTAAGCAGCTTGGACAAGCAATTTAACTGAAAGCAGCAGAGCATTTCCCCAAAGCTTTTTCTGCTTTAGGAAATCTGTGTCCAAACATATAAACATCAAAGCTGTAGATACACACTAGGAAGTGGTTTCCGGAAAATATGTGATCTTGCATTCCCACAAGGCTCTAGCACTAAGGTTTTGACTTAGCAAGTGTTAAGGCTTCTATCTAGATATTCCCACAAAGCCTTATGTCCTCATAGGTGGGGTTTTGGGCAGTAACTGGACCATGAGTGTATGATACTGGATCAGCCTACTGATTGGCTTAGCATAGTTCTGGGTGTGACTGGCACTAACCAATAGGCTTGTTGTCTGGACAGAATAATAAAGGAAAGAGGGAGAAAGGCTCCTTGTCTCCTGCCTTTGCCCATGACTGTTTCTCCTCTGCCATGCTGCCCTGCCTTGGAACCAACTATGCACTGAAACCTCTATAAACTGTGCGCTAAAGTAAACCATTCTTCCTTTAACTTGTGGGTGTCAGGAATTTGTCTCACACTAAGAAAGTGATGAAGACAGCAAGTTACTGGTGACTGTTTTTATGTGAGAGCAATTAATATACTGGGAACATGTGATGACCAAGTCCTTTCTCGGCATCTTTGTGCAGAAAGAAAAGTTACTGTGAAAATGTAGTTCTCGGATGCGTACCTGTGTGGCCTTTCAGAGCTTTGCTGTGGGCTCTGCTTTTATAAAGCTAAGCATTTACCCGGGCTAGCATCCTTTCCTTACCTAAGTGCGTAGCAAAGGCAATGAGCCGCGAAGTGTCCATTGGCGATTCTTTGGCAGAGGGAAAACCTGTGTTATTTCTTAGTGAAACAAACACCAAACATTCTTTATTCCCATATCCTTTGGCTTTTTAATTTATAAAATTTCTTTGTTGCCACTTCTTTATAAAACACTGAATATTAAGACAGAGGCATCCCAGGACAGAGGGAATTTGTTGCTTTCTACAAAGGACAGCTTTTCTGAGAATCCTTCTCAAATATGTAGTCAAAACCAGACCACAGTACAAGTGTGCTCCTATCTACAGACTCTTGTATCTCCATACCTAACAGTTCTGCTGCCCAAAGGCCAAGAACACTGTTTACAAAATGAGTTCAGTGTGACATACATAATCCCTGGGAGGGAAGGCAATTTGTGCTCCAGAAGGCTTATCACACGCTTTCTGGCGTGAGAGTTGGCAAAGCATTATGAAGATGTGAAATACTCAGTGTACATTTTGAGAGCTGGGGCAGGAGTGGGAAGGATGTTGAGGTCGTACTGTATAAATGTGGGTCACTTGAGGGGAGATCTGAATTCAGGGGTAAACAAAGAGCTACAGGGTAGTGGGGAAAATCACCTGAGACAGCCCTTGCTTTCTTATTATTTGTCCCAAGTCAGAGAGTGGGTGTTCATCTATAGCTACGCAAACGAAGCATCAGAAACAAAATTGGACTCCAGTGTAGGGATTTCACAACTATACACTCCCCCACCCCGGGAACTGGACTGTTTTGCTTTGACATAATGAGAAATCTGTTTATGTTTGCAAAGGATCAGGTATAGACTCTGCTTCTGGAGCAAACAGACAAGGATTCAGTAAATCTTCTAAAAAAGATTAACTCCTAGAAGCCAGGTAAGAAAAAAAATCCCACCCCGAAAGCAGGTTCTGTTGATCATGTAATATTCAGGCAAACCTTTGAGGAAAAGAATTCATAGCAGGCACAGCTTGAATTGGAGTAACAAACATGTACTCTTAAAACTGTCCTGTTCATGCTGGCTGTGGTAGTCATATCTGAAACTTCAGCATTCTAGGAGGCTGAGGCAGGAGAACTGTATATTCAAACCCAGTCTGGGCAATTTATCAATTTACAAAACCCTGTCTTGAATTGAAAGAAAGAGAAAAGAAGGAGAAAAAGAAAGAAAGAAAGAAAAACTGGTGGCTACGATTCAGTACAAAAGCTTCAGGCTCAATCTCCAGTACCACAAAAAGAAAAAAAAATGTTAAGCATACATTTTGAAAAGATGTTTAGGTTTGATCCTTAATAGGAAAAGGAAATGATCCCTTCCCCTTGAAGTTCCTGCCTTACTCCTTTTTCCAACCCCACCTCCAGGACAGTCCTGAGGCTGTGAATTGTTTGCAAAGCCAGTATTGATCTAAGGAGGCCTGTTTTTTAACATTCTCTGTGCGGAAGTTCTCCGTGAACTTCTAAAGCGCTGGCTTTTCTTTCTGCTCTCAGGCTGATTCCGCAACCCTGCAGCTGGGTAGCTCTACCCAGGAATGTCCCCCGGGGAAGGGTGGAGGGCAAGTGTCAGTCTGTCCAGCCATCACTCTGATCTTCAGTTTTCCTCACTGACTCCTTTTCAAAACAAAATTATTAAATACATCAACCTTTTATTTATGTTGTCTGATTTAATGTCCGATGTAAAGATTCATCGGAAGTGCTGCTTTTTAAAATTGGACATTTCATAGGCATTTAAGGGCAATGTTGCTTTGATATTTGAAACTTTTTGTGAAATATTCATTGGATTACTAGCATTATTTATTAGGAATATTCATCTCCATAAAAATCTATGAAACAGGACAAAAGCATACACTGGGGCACAGCCTTTTTAACAAATGGTGCTGGGAAAATTGGATATTCCCATGCAGAAGACTTAAGTCTAGATGCATATATCTCACCATGTAGTAAACTGAAATCAAAATGAACCAAAGAAATAAACATTAAAACAATTCACTGGAAGAGAACTATGTAAAATTCTTGAGGATATATGCTGAACAGAACCCCAGTGGAACAAGAAGTGGTACCAAAAATTAACAAACAGGATCATATCAAATTAAAAAGCTTATGCACAGCATAAGAAACCACCAACAGACTGAAGAAATAGCCTAGAGAAGGGAAAAAAAAAATGTTGCAGCTATTCCACAGAGGACTAACATCTAGAATATATGAAGAACTCAAAAAAAGTTAGACTTCTCCCCAAATAAAAGATTCAATCAAAACATGGGCAAGTGAAATGAACAGAAGTAGTGCAGAGGTACACAGAGCCAATAAATACATGAAAACATGTTCATCATCACCACCCCCGCCTAAGAAAAACGCCAATTAAAACTACACAGAGATACCATCTTACCCTAGAGAGCATGGCTGTTATATAAAAAAAATCAAATAAATGGCTGGGGAGAATGGGGAGGGCAGTGAATTCTTACACATTGCTGGTGGGAATGTAAACTAGTACAACCACTATGTAAATCAGTGTGAAGAGTCCCCAAAAGCTAAAAATAGAAACTCTATATGACCCAGCTATCCCCCTTCTTCCCAGAAGCATTAGAATCATACATATTACAGGGATACATGCATACCCGTGTTTACAGTGGCACAATTTCTAATACCTTGATCTTGGAAACAGCATATATGTCATCACTAGACAAATGGATAAATATGTATTTATACAGAATGGAGTACTACTCTGCCATAAAGAAAAATTTGAAGGACTCATAGGCAAATGGATGCAACTTGAGACCAAAGTGTTACATGAAATAAATCATACACAAAAGCTTACATATCACATGGTTTTTCTTAAGAAACCCAGAGTAAAACTAAAGAGCAAAATGAAACATAGGCAATAGGAAGTAGGGAGCTAGATCCTTCTCAAAGGGAAAAGGATCAAGAGATAGGAGGAGGACAGAGGGAAAGAATGGTTACAGGATGAAAAGAAGGAATTAGAATCCTTTGCGCATGTGCACCGACTCCACACAAGGAATGTAAACATTATGTACTGCAAACATGTACATAATAAATCAATAAAGGAAAGGATGGGTGGAGGGGGGAGTAAAGGAGGGAAGGGGAATGAAAAAGGAATTAAAATATGCTATATACATATTATGGCTTATATCTAGATGTCCCCCCCCCCTGCAAAAAAAAGCCTCATAGGTGGGGCTTTTCAGAGGTGGATGGATCGAGGGTGTATAAATAGATCAAGGGCATGCGATAACTAAATTAGCTCACTGGCTTAGCATAGTTCTGTGTGTGGATGAACGGAAGGTCCACCCTGAGTGTGGCTGGCACCATCCAATAGACTTGTACCCTGAGTGGCATAAAAGGGAAAGGGAGGCTTGCTGGTCTGCTGCTTTCTATCTGCTCTGCCATGGACTGTACCTCCTCTGCCACACCCTTATCCAATGTTGCCCTGCCTTGGAGACTGTGGACTGTGGACTGAGACCTCTACAAACTGTGAGCTAAGATATACCTCTCCTTCTTTAACTCATGGGTGTCAGGTATTTTGTCTCAGCAATGAGGAAATAAGACAGTATATGCACCAGCTTCCCACAAGGAACGTAAACATTGCGTACTACACACATGTTCTAATAGACTAAAATATTTTTAAAGTATATTTTTAATATAAACACTAATTTGTTTCACTTATACCATTTTTTTTAGTTTTTCAAAGAGAAAGTTTTGTGCTTTTATTGTTCTTTCTTTGTAAGAATGAGTCCTTTTGTCTATGACTTGTACTCTGAGTAACATTTGGGCCATTCTTTTAGGATTATGACACACATGTATTAACTGTTATTCCCTTTTGTGCTGTGAAATTTTTATCTTTTCATAGAAGAGTGCTTTTCATATTTTATTAGTATCACTAGTATTACATTAGAATAAGAAGCTGTGAAATCCCAGCTATATTTGCACCCATTATTAGTAACTATTCCTATTGTAGAATTGTCCCCCAAACACAAGTCACACAGATCATATGTATTGGAGGAAACCAGAAGTGGAGGGAGAAAGCTTACACAGAAACCTCTTGGGGTGGGAGGCGAGCTGAGGGCCTCAGACGTTTACCTGTCATGGCCAAACAGTATCCACCTGTTTATTTTCTTCTCCATTGGTGTGTTCCAATTGGCAAACCTTCCGGAGCTTTCAGTGATAACAAACACCTGCTGGGCCCATGTGCCATAGGTCTGCCCCCATTGGGGTACACAGCTGCTGGGAGGCAGCGGGTCAATTCGTCCTCCTCCCCACCATCTGAAAGATGAATAAGCTTCTTTTCATAGAGTCATTTATACTGAGTTCATACTTCTTAGTCCAAACCCTTTTTCTTAATTTTTTTTTTTTTTTTTTGGTACCGAGCATAGAACCTCGTGCTTGCCAGGCAGGCACTTAAGCCACTAAGCTAAATCCTCAGCCCTACACCCTTTTTCTTAATCAGAAACTGTAACTGGGAAAATTAAGCCATGTTGCCTGTCTAAATTTCAGTAAGAGAATCACAGGTTGAAATCCACAGGCTGGATTCATCTGATATTTGTGACCTGTATCTCGGGGACCAGATGCCATTGTTTGATGTGCAGGAAAGTCAGCTCTGTGTTCTGGAACTGATAAGCCACGCAGGAGTACATGTGCCCTCCCATCCCTTGTCCTGGGACAGGAAGACCTAACCCTGGGAGACCCCTTTTGCCCAGTGGAGGAGGGGGAAGAGCCCCAGTGTGGACACCTTGGGCAGAGGGTTCCTTCCAGGGAGCTGCAGTCTCCTGGGATCTCATTTCCTCCCTAAATGGTAGCTGAAGATGCTGGTTTGACATTTGCATCCTGCCATTTCAGCTTCATCGGGTCAGCTCCTTATGCTTCGAGTAAGCCCTGAGTCACTGCGTGCAGGGTGGGGACCTTGGTTTCCCAATACGTAGGACATACGCACTGAGAGGATTCTTGGAAACTCAAAGGAACTCAGGGCTTCTTTTTCTCTATCACCCTCACCCTACTTAGAGTTAAAAACAAATAACCTCGTCAGATTGAAGGGCCACGGTACTTTCTAAAGAAATTCCAACAATGAATAAGTACATTTCTAATTTCTACTAGGAATTAAAAGTAAATTGTGTAAAACTGGCCGAGAGTACATAGTATTCTAATCTATATACATCGTATGATATTATAGGGTGTGTAATGTGTCATACATTATTATAAGTTCTTAGCACATATGCCTCAATTAATGAGCCTTAAACCATACAGGCTGCACTCAAAAAGCAGTTTGTAGGTCAGGCTAGTTTTTGTGGGGACAGTGATGACCAGGAGGGGGCATGCGGGAGCCGGGAACGTTCTAATTTCTGAGTAGCTGTCAACAGGCAATAGCTATATGAAAAACCGAACTAGCCAGGTTGCAAGATATGTAACGTTTATTATATGTAAATATATGTTTATGAGAAAAAGCCTCTAAAAACAAAGGAAAGACTGTAAAAAGCTTTTACATTTTAAAAAACTCATTAACAAGACACCAGTTTCAAGAGATAGATTACAGATACAGTTACATTGCAAAATTCTCTTTGAAAAAAGCTAATGACTTAATTCATGAATTACAAATACACCTATCAGCAATTCAAAACAATAGGAATTTAAGCAGCTTGAGTAGTTAAGCTAGGCAAAGAAAATTCCTGTTTAATATATATATATATTTAATTCCAGTAATATTCTCTTAAATTCCTGTTAAAAATATAATCAGTATTATAGTCAGCACAATGCCTTTGACTGACGCCTGGATTATTTTACCACTTTACCTGGTTACACAGTGATTTTTTCTGTCAGATGTAACTGACATCGGTTTTGTCTTTCAGATAAATGAAGTGAGAACTCACATTGCAGCATCATGTGGAAAATATTCGAACTACATTTAAAACGCGCTTTTTTAAAATGGAGAAATCAATTGTCCCGCCAACAGCTGTGTCTGTAAACTGCAGGTTGGCTATGGTAATAGTAACTAAACTACATCCCACCCTGAAGGCAGAAGAGTCCCTGAAAAGAAATACACGGCCTAGTCATAATATGCCATATAAAGGTTATATTCTCATTTTTAAAACGTCTCCCAACGTGGAGAAACCCACAAACGCTTCCATGGTTCCCTTACTAGGCGGCGCCACATGGAATTATTCGGTTAACATCATTATAATCATGGCTTACAGTTAAATTCAATATGACCAAACACATACACATAGCAGCCGTGGGTTTGGATGTTGTTTATGACAGTGTTTGCAGTTCAATTAAAGAACACGGGCTTGTTAAATTTGGTACAAAGCTTGAACACTCAGGACAGATTGGCACAACACATGCAGTTGGAGAATTTTCTCAAGTCAGACATCACCACATCAGCCACAGTCCTAGTCCCAAATCTCCCTTTGTATTACAAATGATGTTTAATTAAAATGCTTCTGAAAACAGCTTCCAGAGTAAGACCCCCCCCCCAACAAACCAACCAACCAACCCAACAACGCTTCTAAAACCCAGTTCATCATCTGAAGGCGTGGTGGAAGTGAGGCAGGATGGCGGTGCTGGTGCCGGCCGCGAACACGTGCGGGATGGGGGGCAGCGGCAGCTGGCCCAGGCTCACGGCGCCCACGGCCAAGGGGGGCTCTTGCTGCTGCTGCTGCCCCAGGCAGCTGAGCCGGTGGGGCAGAGGCTCCGCGGGCCCCAGGCCCAGCGGGCCGGTGCCGAAGGCGCCCTGCGTGGGAGGCGGCAGCTGCCAGAAGCCCAGCAGGGAGGAAAGGTCCAGCGAGGCTGGGATGGCCAGGTTCACGGCCTCCGCGGGCAGCTCCTTGTGCAGACTGACCTTCCCAGGCCCGGCCTTGGCCAGCTCGAAGCCGGGGTGCAGCTTGTGAGGTGACTGAGGCTCTTGCAGCGGCAAGTCCTCGAACAAATTGACATTGCAAAACCCTTTAGCATCTGCTTTGAGGGGCAGGCTCGCCAGGGCGGGGTATGAGGTAGAACCGGCGTTGTACTTGTGACCTGGTAGGGTCGGGGGAGGGGAGCTGGGGGCCACCGCGGGGTGCAGGGCGGCCAGGGGATCCGGCAGCGGCGGGGGCGGGGGCGGGGGCGGGGGCGGGGGCGGCGGCGGCGGCACGGACGGGGCGCTCGGCTCCGGGGGACTCAGGGGCAGGCTCTGCGGTTCGGTGGGCAGGCCGGCTGCAAGCCCGTTCTGGGCAGGGGGCCCTAGAGGGTAGGGAGACAGGGGCGCGGCCTTCAGCGGGAAGGAGGGCGAGCCTGGATGGAAGGGGCTCAGGAGGTCCCCGCCCTGCAGGCTCTCCTTCATCAGCTCCTGCGAGTGCGTCTTCTTCGTGTGCCGGGTGAGGTGGTCCTTGCGCCCGAACCTCTGCGCGCAGAACTGGCACAGGAAGTCCTTGCAGCCCGTGTGCACCACCAGGTGGCGCCGCACGTCCTTCCGGGTGTAGAAGCACCTCTCGCAGTGGTCGCACTGGTGCTTCTTCTCCTTGGCCCCGCTGGGTGGCTTTTCCTCCGCGTGGGATTTCAGGTGGTCCAGCAGCACCTCCGTGCTCCCCAGCTCCAGGGCGCAGACGCCACAGGTGAGGTCCCCGCTGCTGGCCGCGTGCAGCGCCAGGTGCCGCTTGTAGCCCAGCATGGTGTTGTACTTCTTGCCACACTCCTCGCACCCGAAGGCCATCTTGTTGGGGTCGTGGGTCTGGAGGTGGTTCTTCAGGTGGTCTTTCCGGTTGAACGTCTTCTCACAGTGGGCGCACTGGTGAGATTTCTGGGGAGAGTGGGTAGCCATGTGCCTGGGGCGGAAGCAACATTGCACAACAGGAGTTGGAGCAGGGTGTAGAAATAGCAGCACACTGGAATGTTAATAGTTCGGTGCATCTTCACTTTAACATTACCTTTCCGTATTTTCCAAATACGTACAACTTTATCATTAAAAATCAAAAACTATCCCGGCATCGTGTCATACACCTGTAATTCCAGCACTGTGGGAGGCTGAGGCAGGAAGATTACACGATGTCTCAAAAATAAAATGGGCTGGGGATACAGATCAGTGTGCAGGCCCTGGGTTCAATTCCCAGTACTGAAGGAAAAAACCCAACCACAAACCCAAGGACTGTTAGAAGTATATTGCAATTTTTATACCTAGAAGGAATGTGTTTTTGAAAAGTTACTGTATCCTTAATGTGTATAGATTCTAAACAAATATAAGTTTTAAAAGTTATGTGATGAAAACTACTTTTCAGGAGGTTAAATATGTATTTGATGCTCTTAAAATTCCTGAATTTCCTATGCCCCAAGTTTTAGACTGTTGTTCCGAATATAATTTGTGTGTGATCTCTACTGATGGAGCTACAACGTTCGGACCAGAGACATAAGACTGTTAGGAGCTTTTTAAAAAGTCTGTCCTTAGCCAGGAGAGGTAGCAAATGTCTATAATCCCATCTTCAAGGAAGGCTGAGGCAGGAGAGTGGCAAGTTCAAAGCCAGCTTGGGCAATTTAGCAAGACCTCATATCAGAATAAAATTAAAAAGAAATTCAGGTCTCCCTGATTCAGTCTCCAGTACTGGAAGAAACAACAAAACCTTACCCTTAATTGTGGAGAAAGTATATAATTGGAACCCAGTTGTTAAAAACTGTCACTTTAAGTTATATAAGGCTTACTTTAATAACTGAGACACCAAGTACTATATATGAGTATTCCTTATAAAACAGAATTCCTTCTTTGCAGCTTGCAAGGTACCAGGTACTTTAGAGCAACTGCCTCCTCTAGAATCTTTTTAGAGGCTTAACTTGTCTTACTAATAATTGTGGTGCAATTGTATCCTCTGAGTTTGTGACTTTGGATACAAAAGAATTTCTAACAACTCATTCTATTAACGAAAAAAAGATACACTCTCTTTCAGACTGTATGTTTAACTCAGAAGTGTACTTAATTATACTTTTTACCCAACCCCCTACTCTGTCTTACTCATTCCTGATAACTGGTCGCTACCAGCTGGGATTTAGAAGACAGTGGTCCCACTGAGAGGCAGACTGGAAGCCAGTTCAAACATTATAAAGCTGAGCTGGATCACTGTCTTAAAAATAAAGCCCAACATTGCACACCTCCCTCCTCTCTCTCTTGAGTAACCTGCGAGGTGCACAGAATAAAAGGTTTGCAGGAATATTGTGCTGGGTGCCGAGGGCGAAGGACCAGTCCAACAGGCATCTAAAATCAAATATGCAGCTGACTCCACATTCAAGGTGTACCCAGGTACGTCCACAGTTGCACAAAGGATTTTTAAAAGCATGTGAAGAGAGGAAATTGTTGTCTTGTTTTAAAGCTACCCACATGTGTGCAAGAGGGATTATTAGTATGGCGCGGGGCTGACATCAATTCATATTTATGCTGTTTCAATTTGGCTTAGTACTAATAAATAGTGCTGCAAAGGTCTGTGCTGGATCTCCTATCGTTACCTTTCTCCGCCTCTTTCTTTGTAAAGGATTTTAATCTGGCTTGGTTTCATCTGTCATCCAGGAGCAAATCAGCTTGAGGTGAGTAACTCCGGATGTGGGGTTTCCTACTCACTCGCTCCTGGGCTAGACCTGTGCTGGCCCTGGAGCCCAGGCTGGTTCCAGCACCTGAGCAACACCATCGCCTTTCAGGTTTCACCATCTTCCATCCTTTAGTTATTTTAGCAGTTTTTCCTTTGCCCAAGATCCGATTCTTCCCCTTTTAACTTTCCCCTCACGTCCTCTTGCAACAGTCCCAATCGAAAACATTATCATAGCTGAAAATGCTTCAACAATTTGTTTCTTTCTCAACTTTTCTTCTCAGCTTACCACTCACGAGACTTCCCTTTAGAATGGCCTTTAGGGGATACCAGAAGCCACCACCTCTGGCTGTCACTGAATTAGGTCAGTGCTGTGAGAACACTTCCAATCTTGGGCTTGAATCTGCCCTGCCAAGTCCTCTCTCCTTTCCCTGTGCTGTCTCCACCTAACTGGTTTCATTGTTTGCTGTTCTTGAACCTATGTTCTCTTTTCTGGTTAAGCAAGTCAGTTATTTTCTCCTTCAATTACTGCTCATAAAAAAGAACTCCCATTCCAACTGTTGAGAAATGGGGTGGAACTGTTGCCCTATCACCTTTTCTTTTTTAAAGCCAAACCTTAAGCATCCTGCCATCTTACCAGGCCCTCCTCCCTTTAGGAGAGTATGGCCAGAGAGGAGAGCCTAGGGCTGGGTAAGGCCCACAGGGCTTTCATGAAGGCACAGTTTCCCTTTAATGCTTACTTCATACCCTTAAGTGGACAACTCATTTCCCTTGAGCCACCCCAATGGTGCTTAAGACATCTTCAGGGCGGTTTGACCACATAACCCCAACGAATTCCCCTCTTTCCAATCATCAGCGTGCTCTGCTGTCTTTTCCAGGTATTTCTTTCCTGCCTGTCTCATGGGCTTTATCGTCCTGCAGCTCCGCTGCACCCCAGGCTGCCCTGAGGGCTGGGGCAGTGATGCCTGCTGTACACACAGCAGCAGCTCCAAGCAGAACGGGGAGCCACCACCATGACACTGTGCGCACGGCATGCGCACGGCATGCACTTAGACTACCATGACAACTAGAGTGGCCTGCATACGGTGGGAAATGCTGGAATTTTAATGCCTATGCATTTACAGGCTTAATTTTAAAAATCAACTTATGGCATAACACAGCATCTGTAACAGTGGTATGCTTAAGGCCAGCAGTAAAATTTACATTTTTGTTTACTTTGATCAAGCACTGTCCCCAGGGTGCTCCAAGATTGAATGATAATGAGGACCCTGTTAACAGCACTCAGATGGAAAGGCACGCTTGCCAATACTACTCTCACCTGTGCATTTTTATGCACACATCAGAAAGCTGAAACCTAAAGACATGAACACATTTCCCCTAAGCAGGCATCAGAAGCAACACACATTCATGGGAGTCTTCGCGTGTGGCTCTGCGGGCACCGTAAACGTCATGCACACAGCTGTCACTGTCAATCAGACTACTGTCTGGCTGCGTATTTTACCCTCTCTGTAATATCAGAATCCCTGGAAATAGCAGCTGTATGTCATGTATCATGGTGGCATGCAGTGCCTAACAGCTCGCAAGAAGTAATTTGGGGGCCTAGGATTTAGCTCAGCAGCGTAAGCGCCTGCTTGACAAGTCCGAGGTTGCAAGTTCAATTCCTGGTACCAAAGGAAAAAAACAGTAATTCAGATTAAATATGTTTCTTTAAAATAGACTCATCTGCTACAGCAGTGAGTTTTACCCTTTAATAGATAATCACGGGTGCCCCTGGATTCCGCTAATGCATAGATTGCGCATCTCTACACGCAATGGAGCCCCAGTGCGTCTTCCTTTTCCAGGCAAGGTGACAAGCTGCTCTAGAAGCCCACACTTGTACGCATATCCTGCCCTGCACCTTCTCTTGAGGGACTTGAACAAGCCCTTGCACTTGTGCTTGGACTCCTGCAACACGTCCCAAATCGGCCTCTTTACTCCTCATGTACACTGCTATCAGAGACACCTTCCTAACATCCTACTCAATGGCTGAACAACCCTTTCAGACAGTAGCCTGGTGCACAGCGCATCCTCCCGATGCTCCCGGCCTGGCCCCACCGCTCCCCAGCCCTCTGTGCACAGCGCTTCACAGCTGAGGCTCTCAGCCGTACCAGAGCCTGCTCTCTATGCTCGCTGTCACAGCTGGGGGCTGTGCCCTTCTGAGATTCTGTGCTGTCCTCCTGGGCAGTGAAGGAGAGAGCCCAGGAAGCAGGGGGCCGTGTTTAAAGGTGTCTGTGTACCACCTCTTCAGCTGTGAGCTCGCCTCTGCCTTTATGCCCAAAGGAACAAACTGATACTGCACAGCCAAGCCACCAGAGAGAACCACAGCGATCACTGGAGAGACAGTTTTAAGAATGGCTAAAAGGCTACCGCGCATCCCATTCCCCTTGGAGCTAGCTGTCTGAGGGCCGGAGGAGCCTCTCTGGCGTCTCTCACCTCATCAGTTTGTATCTGGACACAAAGGCTTTGCCACAGTCAGTCTGCGAGCACTTGAACGGCCGCTCCCTGGAGTGAGAATAATTGTGGATAGTGAACTTCTCCAGGGTGAGGAATGTCTTGCCGCATAGCTGGCAGGGGAACGTAGCCATGGGCTTTGCTGCTCACACCTTTCTCTCCAGGTGTGCTGATCCAACGCTGTGCCATTTAGCACAGATGGAAGGAAGGTGCCAGAGCCGGGCACATCAGTGGCGTCACTGCAGCTGGGCTCCAGAGCCGGGCAGAGGCAGCATCACCGCCCAGTCCTACCCAGACTCGGTGCTCTTGGATGCACCAGGTTTGCTTCCTGCTTCCCTGTGTCCTGGTTCACATGCAGACTTGAGATCCAGGCACAGGAAGGGGGTCTGCATTGCTACCGCCGAGCAGGGTCCTGCATCACCAGACCATCTGTGGAGACAAGAAGTGCCTCGGGTCAGCTGTGGCTCTGCCTCGCTTCTCCTCTCTGCCTCTTTGGAAGCAGCCACCCACACTCAGCGTGTTCTTCTAAATGGCTCTAATGAGCACAGTTCTCCCTGTGCACTTCAAAAGGCCCTTCTGCACGGAAATCTGCCCTTCTGTGTCTCCAGGTGGCTCGCCACCAAGCATGCACCTATACTTGGGGGTGATGTGGCACACTCCTTACAGATAAGGACAGCTCCTCCCATGGGTTCAGCCTCAGCTGCTGTGTGGTTTCAGGTTCGGGTGACAAAAGACAAAAAGAAAAACCTGCCTTAGTGTGCTGGAATGTTTGCTCACAAACAAAATTTCCCCCCTTCCTATTCAAACCATGGGCTTTCCTTCACGTGCTGTTAGCATAAGGTAAGTTGTTTATGACACCTGTTTAAACTTCCAGAGGATGAGAAAAAATCATTTGTATACATCTAAGGCAATTTGCTTGTGAGATCACTGGGTACAAGGACTGCGGTAAATATGAGTAAAGCCGGGAAGCCACACTGATGAGGTGAGGGGAAGAGATGACGTTTCCATGGAAATGAGACTCATGGCTGCTCCGACAGCACAGGCCACACTGACGCTTGTTGCGCCATCCTCTAGAAAGGTGTAACGTCCATCTCTGCCCCTTTTGTTCACTAGGACATTTCCTCATTCTTCAGCTGCCCCTACTGTTACAGTCAGGGATGGCAAGGAAAATGATTATGTACAAGACATAATTTATAATATTATTTTATATTAGTCACCCAGAGTCAAATATAAGAAGCACAGGAAATCTGTCCACACACTAAAGACCTACAGAACCCAGCCCAGGGCCTGGATCTCACAGCAATGTCCTACATGAGTCCAGCTGAAGAGCTAGAGCCCATGACAATGCCCCCCATGAGTCCAACTGGAGACCTAGAGCCCATAGCAGTGACTTATACTGGCCTGCTTCATGGGTCTGCACTGGGAAGGCCCCAAGGTCATGGTTGAAGGCTAGAAAATCTGTGCCAGCGGGATGAGGGATCTACACTGGAGCCAGGAAGTGATGCTCAAAATAAGAGCTTCCCCTAAGTAAACTGCAGCCATTCTCAGCAACAAGGTCTAGAGCTCCTTTGACAATGAGAACAGCCACGTTCGTATCAGGAAAGAAGCTCAGCAAGCTCTCCAGGAGAACAATAGCACCAAACAATATCATCGCTACTCTTCCTCTCCAGGTCTCCTTTTTATGCTGGCAACAGCCCTCAGGTGGGCCATCTACACGCCACATTGTGCCGATTCAGTTCAGTTGGCGTTTAAGTTGACCTTCAGTTTTCAATCCAGCACAGCTGGTAGGGCAGTTCTAGGCGCTGTGCCTGCCGCCCCTTTAAACTCCACCAAACTCCCAACTGTTTCCTCTATCAATGGACCTCATTTGAGGACTCGTAAGTGTCTAAGCACCATCGTGAGTAACACAGCCTATGAATAATGCAGTTGATCCTGGAACCTTGTGCTATTTGAGAGTCATCCCTAGTGGGGTGGAGCCTAATCTTTCAGGTGCCAACACTTAAGAGATATTAGAGTACAGGTTGAACGTACCAAATCTGAAAAACCTGGAATGCTCCAAAATCTGAAATCTTTTGAGTATCAACCTGCAACTGCGACTGGAAAATTCCACACTTGACTTCATATCATGGGTTAGATACATTAGAAATGTATAAAACCACCTCAGGTTATGGTTAAGATGTTTATGAAATGCAAGTGAACTGTGTTTAGACGAAGGTTCTACATAGATATAATATTCCAAATCCTAACAGCTCTGAAGACCGGAACACCTGTGGTTCCAAACACTCTGGACAGGGGATATTCAACCTGTCCTATATGCTTATATCAAACGTGTGAGTGAGTATCTCTTGTATGTAGGCCAGCCTTTTCTCTATGTTGCCAGGTAACCAGGGCATGTCTCTAATAAAGCTCTGTTCCCTGCAGTTGTTCATTTATGGCTAAGTCTGCGTGTTTCAAGTTGTTCTTTACTGACAAGCTGACTTACTTTTGCAGTTACTTGCTCACTGGAAAGCTAGATATTATTTTATTGTAATAATAGTTTAAGTACTTTTTAAATACTAGTACAAACATCCATACCTCTTCTAATTGGTAAAAATTATAGGAAACTTATAGCATTTCTTATCCCCCACCCTAGATGTTTTCAGTGCCCGGCCAGAGGTCACAGCAAAGACAAATACCTCTCACTGCCCTGCCCCTCCAACTTGGAGCTGACAGAACTGGCTTGGGGGCGCTGACCTGAAGATTTGGCAGGAACACAGAGAAATCCTCAGCCAAACCCCCTTTTGGATTTCAATTCTCCTTTCTGATCCTATCACCTTTAGCTGGACTTCTGTCCCAGCCCTGCCCAACACCCTCCCCCACCCCCAGCTCCCTTCCCCCACAGCCACCCCAACACCCCGGCCACAGAGCCCTTCTAGGAATTCTATCACATGCACAGCCGCAGCCAGCGCTGTGGTCTGACCTCCCCGATGCAGCCTGAGTCTGGCCACAGTACCGGGCCAGCTGTAAAATACACTCATTCACTTGAAATTGCCTGTGTTCTTTCCAGATCTATTTTTAAGAGAATAAAACAGCTACAGGTTATAAAATCTGAAATGCATGTTTCCTCCTTTCTTTTGGAGTTTAACTCACAAATCGCTTGTCACTCTGGAGGAGCTGGTTTGGTAGGAAGAGTTCTGTATTTCTCTTACCTACTTAGCAATTCCAGGAACATATATATTTTTTCAATTTATCTCGGTAAATTAATTTTCCTTAACTCTTGTTTCCTGAACTTTCTGAGACAATGGTAATGCTGTGTACATCATGCATGGTTCCCAAACACTCGAAATTGCCACTGAGAAACAGGAACTCATTTTGTTTAATTTTAACAGCCACATACAGCTAACGGCAGCTGTGTGGCACGGCACAGGCAGACGCTTAGTCTCTAAGATACCTGCAGGGCAGATGTGGGCAAGGCTGGTTTCCCTCGGACATAACTCATGATACAGATGTGCCCTCAGGTGTTTTCTCTGGAGTGGGGAAGGAACTAGGCATTTGTTTTTTAAACAGTGGAAAGATTTCCTAGTTCAAATTCCAGCTTACCCACGTAGGCTACATCCCAGGTTTCTGTTTCCTCTTTTATGAGAGTCACCCAATGTATGTAAGAGGGGTGTTGGGGACAAGCAAGTGAAAGAAAATGACCAGGAAGCTAATTTTAACCTAAAAAAGTACCAGAGAGATGTTGTAATGTTATGGACCAGTGAGGTTAAGGTAGAACCATGTACCCAGGACCAACTAATGGTTCCTAAGAATTCAGAAAGGAATCCATCGGAGGAAAGACACATCCTCTCCCGTGTGTACACCATCAATTATTCCTACAGGGAGGAGCCAGAGGGAAGCAAAAAGCCCGTATACTTTGTTTCTCAGCAGTTGTAAACCCCCATGGATTATTTACCAACGTTACAGGAGTACTCAGGAAAATCAGATATATTCAATTTTTAAAAGTTCCCTTTGAATGAAGTTTTTCAGGTCCACTTTCTGGTCAGTTGGTCCCTAGATTCACAAGCCCAGCAGTCACACACAGTGCCTGTGCCCATTCTTCCCTGTAGGGAAAGCAGTCACCCAAGATGGTGACTATCATCGGAGTGTTAGACGTGGTCATGTTTTATTTAGGGGTGAGGCACATTTCCTCCACTTCAGGTTCCCAAACCTTCCCTCGAAAACAAAGTCTTTCAAATTTTTTATTCACATCTAACTTGTTCTATGAATGTTCTCCCCAAAACTTTCTCTTACGAGTTGCACATTTATGATAAATGTACTCAGCCTAACACAAAGTATAAAGTTGGTCCTCAGATGTTGAGTTGAATTAATTACGTGCTAGTGAACACTTTAATTTCTTTGTGAAACCTTTAGTGATTGACTAACTCAAATTCATAGGGTTATACAATTCCAGTCACTGTAACTATGTATTTCATAAGTATGAACCTTAGAATACAAATGTTTGCACAGTTCTTGTGATCATGAACACCTATAAATTGTCTTTCCCCAAAGACCACATATTCTTTGCTGCTGAAGATCAAAGCTTAGTTAGCTATTAAAAAACATAAATAAACTGTGTGGATAAGGCAACATCGCTCATCACCAGGCACTCTGTTAGTACTGGCTGTTTCCAGAAGATTCTGAACTTTGGTTGAAACCCGATGCACTTTCTGGCCACAATCCTGAAAACGACTTACGGTTGCTTTCTGTTACCTGGCCCATCCCCAGCAGTCCAAGGAAAACTGACAAAGTGCTGGTCTTGATGTGGGCCAGCCTGCCCTAGCCTCACCCAGATTGCATTTGAATTGGAACTACGGTACTATTTCAACACCTGTCACCCTGGAAAGATGGTAAGTCTTCCCCCAAAACATCTCAGAACATAATTTTCAGTCCCCTTGATTCTAAAAATACGGAGTGAGTGATACAGATCTGCCAGGATGCCGAAGAAGGCTTGTGCCATCTGCTTCATTCTGTTCATGCTGATTATTTTAGGGATGAGAGAGGATCAGACGGGAGTAAGAACATATATATATGGCAACAGCCTTGGAAGACTGTTCCCTGGGGCCGGGGGGAAACAGCGGTGAAGGGGGGAGGTCAGAGCACAAGTGCAGTTCCAGGACTTTCCTGGTGCTGCGTAACACAATCACCTAACGGGGGACAACTGTTTCACAGCATTCTCAAAATAAACCATGACTTCTGGCTTCTACTTCCATTGTTCCCAGTGATATGATGCAAGGCCCGTGTCTGAGGGGAAAATGCGTTTCCATTTTTGGCCGTCCAGGATGGATGCTCTCAGTTTTTATGTTCATATCACTCATCACTACTTCTTATGGATAAAAGGTTCTACTCCAGATCTCTCCCCCATGCTCCAGAGTCCCAGATACAAATAACACTAAGGCCAGTTTTAAAAGACCTGTAACAAAGATGTTTTTTCTTATTGTCATGACTTAAGATGCAACCAGTCCTGGAACAGGAAAGGTAGAAATTCTTTGCTTGTCTGACCCTAGGAAGCATCTGGAGTGTTAGTATCAGTTTTTGAAGGACTTGGGTAGAGGAGAAAGAGGAGGAGGTCTGGAACCCCCAGGGAATTGTTTCTGCTTATTTTTCATTCTGTGCATGCATCATAAGATCTACTAAGCACCGTGTCCAAGAGAATGCAGTGTCAGAAGAGATGGGCTCCATGATCTGCAGAAAAAGGTGCTCCTGGTGTGTGACTTCACATTGTCATTGATATTTCCTTGCCCATGGGCCACATGTTTTGTGTCTGCCTTCTAAGGAATTAAAAGGAAAAGGAAAAGTGGTGTGATACTGTTTTTCTGGAATTTGGGCAGCAAAGCAGCTTGTGCAAATTTCCTTCCAGTGTGGGTAAAAGTGGTCACTTCACAGGTCCTGTCCTAAGAGACAGACCTACTTTACAACTAGGTGGTAACGTGCCCTCAAGCCACAGGGATTTACTAGTCAGCATCTTTTAAAGTCACTTATTAAAATAAATGCCTGGATGAAGCATGAAGATACTATTATTGAGATCCATCAACACGAGCTGACATCTCTGTGAAGGAGGTGCCGCCCAGCACGGGCTCACAGGTCCTGTCTGGGGACCTCTCTTCTGTAGTTGCATAGAGGCCAGTCTGCTTGCTATTCATGGCTACATTCTCTCGTGCAAATGTACATCCCCTCTTGGAATGCCTGCCATCCAAGAGGCAGGCCCACCTGGCCGACTCCTCTCCTGTCACTCTTGGGCACAGGAATGAGTTCCTCTTCCAGGCCACGGGGCTCACTTGACGGTCCCGCACACATGTCCAGCGCACCTGTCTGAAACCATTTCACCCCAGGGTGTGCTCATGGCTGGGAAGCCTGCCTGCCCTTTTCCCACCCCCCACCCCCCCCGCTGCCCTGGTATGGGAGGACCACCGCAGTGTGCTGGACAGTCTGGTCTACTGCCTGGCTTTCTTAAACTGTTGGTTGAGAGAATTTTATTATGACAGCAACTAAGCTCTTATTTTCTTAAAAATAAGACCTCGCATAAGAAAGGATGCCAAAGTGAAGTGTTTATGTAATATTCAGAGAGAGAAAGAGAGCTCTCCAGTGTGTTATAGCACTGCTTTAGAACATTGGATCTACGTGCCAGCTGTAAAGTTTGGAGAGGGTGGGTGGTTCTGTTTGCAAACAGCATGAGTTGTATCTACTTAAAGACCGTAGAGTGAATAAAAGCACACTGCTTTGGTCTTCCCAGAAACTCTTCTAAAGACAAGGGGGAGGGTAGGTTGCCTCAAGGATCCTGGCATTACCCAGATCGACAACCACAACAATGACAACTGCATCGAGGCCCTTGTTGACAAAGCCCTACCCAAGCACACGGGAGGAGCCTCCTTGGCTCTTTAACGGCTCTCCTGTCCTGTATCAGTAGACAGTCAAGGATTACCAGGAAACAGGAGACAGCATCTAAGAGGAAAAATCAATACAAAACTTAAAGAAAAATGCAGCTAGGGTGGAGAAGAGAGAACACAAGAAAAATTTAAAAGCTGCTTAATATCCCAAAGGAGGTAGGAGAGATACATAAAAGATAACCAGGGTATTAAGAGAACAGGATATTTAAGGAGCCACACTAACAAAACTGAGGCAGGGACACATGTTGGAGGCAAGTGTGCTAGGAGAGCATCTCAGAACCTGTGACTTTAATTGATTTTCCTGATGATTCCGAGCCACCTGTAGGTTGATAATAGGGCTTGGAGGGTCCCTGATGTTTCCCATGTGCACTGCGCCTGTTGCTCACTAGCGAGTGACACACAGAGCATTCAGCTAATGTAATCCTGGGGCTAACAGTAAGATTGTTTACATGTACAATGGTTAAAATGTGAACAGTTGGAACAAGCACCTGGGATTACTTTTAGGTTAACAAAACAGAGTTTATAATCTTCACTACAGGACAGTTACCTAGAAAATATTCCTTTATTGTACTAGAAGCTGTGGATCATAGAATAAAGAAATAAACAGAAATAAAACATGTAAATTTAAAATAAATCTTTCATTTATTGTAGACCATGTAGATCAGGGTCTAAAAGATACCAAAGAACTCATACCAGAAGATTAGCATTATAAAGTTTGTCAGTATTTAGTTTTAAAAACCAAACTATAAAAATCCACTGCATTTCTAAATACCAGAAAACAGAGATATAATTTAAAATGCCATATATGTTAGCCAGAAAACAAAGATACCTACGTAACACCCAGCAAAGGGAAAAGAGGCAATCTATAAAACTGGAGTCACAGGGAGGATGTGTGTATTCAAAGATTTATGCTTTGAGGGGCCGGGATATAGCTCAGCAGCACAGTACCTGCATGGCAAGCACAAGGTCCTGAGTTCAATTCCTGGTGCTGAAAAATAAAAAGATTCATGCTTTAAGCAGCAGGTATGATATGATCCAGTTGGATCTGCTCATGCAAAAGTGATAAATCATGATGAAAACAATTATCAATAGGATAGGAATTTGGTTGTCTAGGGAGACATCAGCTATTGTTGGGAGATCAAGATGAGTTTCAAGGAGGAGCCAAGCTTAAGCTGAGCTTGCAGGTTTAGCACGTGTTGGAGGGGGAGCTGGTGCACTCCAGGCCAAGGTAACAAATACACATGTAATATCTGAAAGCAAGTTGTTTAGTAGGACTGAAACAAGGACTTGAATATGGAGCAGAGCAGTGAAGCAGGCTGGAGAGGCAAGTGGAGACCAAATCATGCAGGGTCCCCTCTAGCCAGGGACGTGTGCATCTGTGGCAGGGCAGGGAGAGAAGAGGGAACCATAGCTGGAGAATGCTACCGCGACCCTGTCTCAACAGCACTGGGAAGAAAGCTAAGCCCATGACTGTGAGTCACAGGGTCACGGAGAACCAAGAGAAGCCAAGCTCCAGGAGAAAGGGTGCCTCCAGCACGGAGGACCCAAGAGCAAGTTACAGGAATTCATTAGAAGTCATCACATGCCCCTTTCCAATGCCGCTCTGGCAGGATAAGTGATGCAAGCCTAGTGTAGACCACTTACACTTCTACTTGTCACAGAAGAGACAATGTGACCTATACAAGAAGAAAGGGGCAGAGGTAAGTGACATGGTGGAAGCAGACTAGTTAGACTACAACTTAGGATCCCCAAAAGAGGTGATGGTGGCAGCAGAGATGGAGAGTCCTAGAGGAAAACTCCTACAAAAAGGGAGTTAGGGATTCAGTTTCAGACATGTTGGGTTTCCTGGTGCTTAACTCCACTCAGGCCAATACGGAGATGCCCAGCAATGGAGCTGGTGAAATCCCCTCTGAAAAATGGGGCACAGGCCTGGCACGGTAGGGCATGCCTATAATCCCAGCGCTCTAGGACACTGAGCAGGAATCCAAGTTTGGATCCAGCTTTGGCAATTTAGAGAGACCCTGTCTCAAAATAAGGGGAGGCTTAAGAATGTAGCTCGGTGTGAAGGCCCTGGGTTCAGTTCCCAGTACTGGGAGGAAGGGGGGGAAGGAGGGAGGGAGGGAGAAATGGACAAACGGACAGACAAATGGTGAATAGCACCCTTTGGCTTCAGGGGAAGAGGACACTATCCTGAATTCTGAACATTGCTTATCCAGGTGGCCTTATAAATGTCTCTGAGCTCTCTGTGGGTGGCCCCGGATCCTGACAGGAAGCTCACACAACCAACTTTGATCACCAGTGTTTCTCCTTCCCAGAGTAGTTTAGTGAAGAGAGTTCGCCCTGGGCGAAGGAAGACTTTGTTTTCTTTCTGGCAGGCCACAGCTAGACTAATCCTCCTCGCGGGTCCTGGTCCTCTGCAGGCAGGGTGTGCGGCGGGCTCGCGGGGGCACACAGTCCTCTACCCTGCCACAGCAGTGCCAGCTTCCGCCTGGGAGCTCCAGGCCACTCTGTGGTGCGAACCACCAGCAAATGGTAACCGATGTTTGGTTCAAAGCTTGATGAGATCTGCTACAGACCCCTGCACGCTGATCTGACAGACAGGTCCCAGGCAGCTTTCACAAGTCTTTGGTTCTCTAGCAGAAGGTGGGCTGTCTGCAGCTGCAGTCTCTCTGTTTTATGTTGTTTAGCTCTGAGGCCAGCAGCTAACTTACCGGAACTGGCCACTAGCGGTCAAAAAGCAGCAGCTAATGCCCGTGATGCTGTCTCTCTCAGAGTGGGGAGCAGCTCCAAGGCGTGCCCTGCTCATAGATGCGAGCCCCAAATAGCCACAGGTGCCAAACTGCAGGAGAGAAGACCCTCTGCTGCCTGGGGCCCTGGGGGGTGTCTCCATCAGTGCATGCGCTGGCTCCCAAACACCCACCAGCTGCCTTTCCTCATCCTGCAGAGGGTGAGCAGGGCTGATTCACTGGGGTTCCCAGGCAGTGCCACAGCCACCTAGGGGACGGTTGTGTCCAGAAAGGCAAGTGTTAAATCCAGGATTGACTCTCAAGTGGAGACGGCCTGTCCTTGTTTTAAGATGACCATTTATTGATGGAGATTCTAGATAGCCTGGACGGGGAGAGGAGTGACAAAAGGCTTTGGTATTAGGAGCAGATCACCTAATCGTTAAAGTCAGGGATGGGGACTGGTCCTTTGTGACAGCTGAAAATATATCCCCCTCCTCCCTCCCTATAAATCCTCACTGCCTGGCCTTTAGACCCTTTTAGGGTCTGCTTCTATAGCTGATGGCGTAATCTCTTTTCCTGGATGCTAAGTGTAGGTCATGGAGGAACCAAAACTCCAATTAACAGCAGGACCTATTGTCCTAACAGGGACCCCATTTAGGGGACAGAACAGCCTGGTTCCTTTTCTGGAAGTGTTGAGGGTGCAGGCTCACACGGAGAAAAGCAGCATGGAAAGCTTCCCCGCCACCCCGACAAGGGCAAGCCAGACTCATGAGTTTAAACTGGAAGGAAACTTTTACTCTATCCTAGCCAGAAAGGATGCTCAAGGCTTGGGTGGTTTGTTTGGCCCTAAGAGAACAGTATTATCAAACAGAAAAAGGGCAAGCAGAGTTGGGTATGACGTGGTGGTGCACACCTGTAATCCCAGCACACGGGAGCTGAGGCAGGAGGACCACCATGAGTTCCAGGTCAGTCTGGGATACACAGTGAGTTCAGTGCCACCCTAAAATACAAAGTGAGTCCCTGTCTAAAAAAAAAAAAAAAAAGAAAGAAAGAAAGAAAAAAGAAAAATATTTCAGTATGTCAAAAGGATCTGATTGGGTAATGGGACAAGATGATACATAATTTTTCTTTTTCCTTTCTGAGTCTCTGCACGGCCTAAATTTTCATTACAACTGCTTAGGCTGAGCCCTGAAGTACCATCAGCAGGACAGAAGAGGAAGGCGACTGCAGGCAGACGAAAGAAGGTGGAAAATCAGAGCAGGGCATTTTGGAGCTTGGGCCAGGCTGGCTGGGAGGTGGGGGAAGGTGGAGGGGATGGAGGAGGTGGGGACGGTGCAGGGCCAGGCTGGGACCTGCGGGCTCATTACACTGGGAACCAGAAGCGCATGAGGCTCCCTGGTTTCCTCAGCAGACTGCATCCAGAGGGGACCTCAGAGGACAGTCGTGTCTGCCCCATGTGGCTGAGTTACCTGGAGAGAACAGCAAACGTGAGGTACTGCTCTCAAGACTCCTTGCCCCCTGCCAGTCAAGCCCAGGCCCAGTCCGATGAACCGGGACACAGACGTGATGGGTGCTTTTACAGTGACAAAGTGCACTTGTGTTTCAAGCTCTGTCAGAGGGTGGCTAGCCTGAACTTAAACCAAGTACTAGATGACTGTGTGACAAAAGTCAGACTGCTGCTTCTGTGTCTGGCAAATTGTTCACTCAGAAATAGATCTGAGACATACAACTGTTTATCAGTGGTCCTTTAAGATTACCTGGGTCTCCTTTAAAACTGCTAAACATTTTGTTGGGTTTCTGTCTCAAAGCCAAGTAGCACTGAAGAAATGAGGTGACTTTCCTAAGCCTCTGCACTGGCTTCTTGGGAAGAGCGGGTGAGGAATGTTAAGGCAATGGGCAGAAAGCAGAGAAAGGCAGAACACTCACAGCCAGCCCCTTTGCTTTTCACCTTCTGTCTGCTTCCTCCCATTCACAACTTTAGGCCCTTTGTTTGTTTAACAGACCATCACAATTGCAGGCCAGGCCCGGGCTCAGTGGAGGAGGAATGCACTGTCCGCAGTGCACATGTGTGGTCCAGCCCTGCCCAGCGAGCTGCTCCCAGCGCCCTGGAGGCCAGCACCTTGCTCACAATAAGCTGACACCCTGTGAGCCAGACTTGCTGCTCCTTCTCAGGAGCCTGCAGCAAGTCTCAGGTTGCTCTTGGTCTCCTCTGGCCTTACCACTGAAGCTCCTGAGACAGCATGGCCTGGCACGGGCCACCCCTGCCCGACTCCCTCCAGTGCGTCTGCTCTGACAACTGCAGACCCCAAACAGGACCTCTCTGAGATTGCTCCTCCCTGACTGCCAAGCCCAGCAGGGCCCCTATCCTGTTTCTTAGTTCCTGGTAGGTATGTTCAGCACCATTGGGATGAATTTGAATCCCTTGGTCAACAGATCAAAATGATATTCACTAACAATGCATTTCCATGAGAATCAAAATAATGCTGTATCTAGTACAATGATAAACGTATTTCAGTGGAGCTCACAAAGCCCACCCATGCTATTCTATCTAATGATTTCCGTCCTGTGTTCTGGTGAGACAGCTACAAAGACATTACTGTCCCCATCAAGGCTCACTGGACTTAAGTTCTTCACCCACAAGCACTGATTGTGAAACCCAAAGGATGGATCACACTAAGAAAAGGGCCTGATTCATGGTAAGGGTCCAGAAGTGTTAGCCCCACTGGGTGCAGCCCTGCTCCTCCTCACCAGTGATACTGATGGAGGCTATCACTGGCAGTCTCTTCCCACTTCTGCCCAACCGCAGTGTCTGCAGCAACCGAGACCTTCAGCAAGAGCTCTGACTGAATTTCCAAAGAAAGCCTAAGAATGGGTAGCAGGTGCCGTGGTGCAGCTGCGATGTGACTAGTCCCCTTCCCGGGTGACCCCTCAGCTTCTACACAGGGAAGGGAGCCTTGACACATGTTAAGGCACACAAGTAAGGCTGATCATACGGGTGGTTGTTAAGCTTCAGAACTGACAAGGTTGTCAGCGGAAAATTCCGCAGATCTGCAGTTTCCCTGGGGCTGTGGATGGGGTCAGCAGGGAAGTGCTGCTTCACCAGATTCCCTGCAATGCAGAGGATACAAAAGAAAAGCAAAAGCTTGCCACAAAATATTCTGCAGTCGGAGGAGGGAAAGAGAGTAAAGTCTACTTATTCTCCACTAGAACCTTCTTGATGATGTATCCTTGCCTCTGTTTGCTGTGTCTCCAAGCAATTATTCATACACACAGCCCACTAGAAATGACTTTAAGGCTTGCAAACCTCCTGGGTAATAGGAACCGTCAGCTGTGAGGTGGGTTTGGAGCTCTCCCTGCAGTCTGAAGATCCCAGCCTGTAAGACATGGTTTGCACACCTCCAGTCAACGCAGTCAGAGAAACGCTCTCCCCACTATGCTGTAACCTGCATACACACACGTGTACCCCACCACAGTGTCACAGATTTTCTACTGCTTTTTCATGCCCTTGATGGGTGATCCTTCCTTATATCCATTCTTTTACTGCAACTGAATTAAAACGACTGTCAAGTTTTTCCCTGCCTTTTCAGCGAGGAAAAAAAAAAAAAAAGAACACGTGAAATTGCTTACATAAAACATTCAAAACAGCCCTCAGAGGAAATGGCATTTCTTTTAAACCAACAGAATTAAAATACCATAAACAGGCATGCAAATCTATGCAGTAATGGACCTGAAATTATGAACTGAAAGTCAGCCATGATTGGTCAACACTTTCAACAAAAGCTTGTGATAAACATTAAGGTTTATCAAATAAGCAAGGTCAAAACACTGACATCTCCAAATTGAATATTCAATTTCGTAATGACTAAATCTGGTTGGGTAGTTGAAAATCTTTTTAAAGGACAGATTCTTAGATCAGCACAGACTGAAATATCTTGGGCACCCTGAGAATT